CAACCAATGGCTAATAATAATAACAGTAGGTATAACAATAATATAAAAGCTCTATTCATAAACTTTTTATTACAGGTAACTTATCCAGAAAATTTCACCTTAAACCCCTATCAGTCATAGAACACAGGCCTAACGTTTGTGAACCGCAAGCCATGGTCTTTTATTTCTGCTGTATTTTTTGAAAGGAAATAATTATACAGCGTGGAAAAAGACGTTAAAAAGTGTGGATTTTTAAAAACAATTTCGACAATTAGAGTATACCTGGACGGATCAGAACAAAATAATGCTGAAAACAGTTGCCGGTTACAGTTTTGATCCAAAAACAATAAAATAGATACCGGATTCAATAATGAATCGAAGGAAGTAAACAAGGTAAATTCTACTACCAAAAAATCGACTAATTTGAAGTAAACGGTACTTAATACTTTTTCCAGTAGAAAATAAAACTGTTACCAGATTGAAATGATAAGGTTTTTTTGTAACATCTCAAATAATTGTTATGTTTTACTAAAAGATGTTATGTATCTTTATTGGAAACGAAAAGAAAAACAGTAAAGTTCGAAAAGAGATGGAAAAGTTCTCAAACGAAAAAAGGAAAACAGCTGTAAAAAGTCATTATTAGAATATAAAAATAACTTAATTCTAGTCATGAACGGTGAGGAAAAACTTGACGTCAATAGAAGAATACTCTTGCAGTTTTGAGTTTTGCGAACAACATGAACGACTACATGGGCTTCTGTTATGGGTAGAGGTTCACTCGCGCACGACTTTCAGTGTAAACGCAGCATGGGGTATTTGTGTACACTGATGGAACAATTTATATATAACATACCTGAGAGTCATTGTGGTGTGTTTGGTGATGACCTTCGTCAATACTAAGCTTTTCTCCACCAACTGTTATTGTTTGTCCATTACTTAACAATTCTGATGGTATTTCAATATTTAACTCCATCATATCTAAAACGATGAAACTTATGTCACACTGATGAGATGAATAATTTACATACTTTTTGCTTTTAGATGATCTGTCTTTGCAAATTGGTTCTCATTTAAGTGATGATGTTGTTGTTCCTCGGATATAATACGATTATTTTGTATATGAATTGTTTTACCATTCTCAATCAGATTTGATGGAATCTGAAAATTTGTTTCTTGTGGATTATTTGTTGGTCGCTGAAATGTGACTGTTTTACCATTCCTTAATGTTTCAGGTGATAATTCAATCTGAATTTTAACTAAACCTGCCAAAAGTATTAATACATGTTGCATTTATATTATTGTTATACCTACTGTTATTATTATTAGCCATTGGTTGATCATGAAAACTCGTTGCAGCTGTTATAGTTGGATGATATTGGCTATCCAACAGGCATAAATCTTGATTATATCGAATTAAATATGGTTGATGATGTCCCGTTGTATCCAAAGGTTTTTGTATTGTTAACATTTTACCGCTTCGTATAAAACTATCTGGTATGTTAATAATTAAGTTTTTTGAATGATCTTAATTAATACCGGAACATAATTGATTATAATAGGATGGATTCTTAAGTTGTTTTGTTGCATGGTTAGAACTGAATTAGCAGATTTTTCTCAAAACGCAGTTTCACTAGGTTTACCTACCTTTTCTTGGAGAAAAATATTGTCACGAGATTCAGTATGGTCGATAACCTATGTTTCCGTTGACTTTAGAGACTACCTGAAGCCACGTAATTCCAGACTCCCAGCAAAACGGATACCACACCTAAAACTACAGAGGCTGAACCTACTGATCAAAATATCATACGAAATTCAACGAGCTTTAAAATGGTATATGCACAAAATGTATTTTAGTGTAAGAAATATTAAAAACTGAAGTATGTCGGATTTTTCCCTAGTCGATTTACTTCTGGTTCATAAAAAATATCGGACCTAAGACAAATCGTAAAAATAAATCGGTCATCTTGTAGACAATTTCATGCTCTATCAAAATATACATAAACTGGGATGCAGTTTGACCTTTAAGTACCCAGAAATTTAAAATTTTGTGAATCTGTATCCTATTAAGTATGTGACCATATAAAAGTCTTGTATGCGATTTTTTAACAGGTAGCAGTGAAGTTATGATTTGGATGTCTTTCAATTCAGTTTTTTATCGTATATCTAGCCGTGGCTAAATAAATCTTATCTACTGTTTTAGTCAAGAGAAAAAGTTAAATTGCTAGCTCGATGGGGCAGTAAGATAATGATAATGGAAAAAAAATGTTTCCACCCTGTTTTTACATTTTTCGCTCACGAATGAGAGAAAATAATAGGAAAGTGACTTTTCTAATAAATTCGGTCATTGGAAATGGAAAAATTCGAGCGGGTCGATTCTCTCTCTAATGCAATCCTTTCAAACTTAAGTCATTTCAGCAATATTGTATTAAAAAATAAATCAAACAGCTGATTTAACTCTCCTGAAGGATAGTCTTTCTACAGGAAATAAAATGAAAATAACCAACTTTTGAAAGAACAGGAACGAAAGTAATACACTCACTGTCAGCTTTCTTCTAACTTCTTTTTCCTGTGCTTAGATAAAAAGACAACATTCTTTTACACACTGCTTTGGCTTTTCTGTACCTTTAAAAAAGTTTGTTATTGAAGTATACTAGTTTATACCGATAGATGAACTTATCTGGTTCTATAAGGATAGTGCAGCAAGGAATAACATACGAAAATGCAGTGAGACGCTGATGTTCTAGCTACGTCACTAGTTCATTACTTTTTACTCTACTTGGTAAGATAACAAACGTTTGTTAGTTATTACCAATAACATAGTAACTACATGTATCACCTTGTTACCTTGTTATAAGTAAGACGTAACAATATGTTACTCATTATTAGTAATAAAGTAACAAATCCTTGTTACTTTGTTTTTGAAAAAACTTTTTAGATTGGGTGTTTATGGACAAAACCGGAACAAAACCATAAATCTAGTCAGGCTTCTAAAAATGTTCCGGTTTTGGTAAAAAGTATGTTCGTTGGTTCGAGCGTGACATCGTGAGACAATCTACTATCGTTCTTCTACTTATTATTCTTCTACTTAAGGGCACCCTTAGCTCTTTTTGAACAAAATTTCGGATTTTGTGATGAGCCTAGCCTAATATAGTGGAAACTGTGGGCTACAAAATGAGGTCGCTTCCGACACTTCACGACCTTTCTGTTCCTTCTCCACTGACCTAAAATCTTGAGAACGCTTTGGGAATGGCAAACACCTGTTTTCTAAAAAAAATTATCTCTGTGTTACTTTATTACTGGTAATAAGCAGCAAGATTGTTAAGTTAGTTGTTACCAGTAAACAGTAATGGTAATAAACCACACCTAATCCCGTATAGTAGTAGGTTAGGTAAAAATTATTATATTTGTTATACTTTGTTCTTTTATAGAGAAATGAATCTGAATGAAAAGCTTCACTAAGACACGGTTCTATTTTAAGAAAAAACAATTCATAACTAGATTAATAATACATTTCATAACAGAAGGATAACTGAATCAACTTTCTTGAAAAAGACTGTAGAAGATTTCTAACTTCTAAGAAGGGAACTATCGCACGAAAGTTGGAACAAATGCAACTGGTTTCAAGTTCTTTGAGATTTGTTTTGTTTTCAAAGCAAAAGATAGTAGCACACCAACCCCTTTCTCAAGATGGGAGTCCTGTCACCCCTATTTTTACCGTTTTGTAGTGGACGGTTTGAAATACATATGATAACATATTTTCGGTCATCAGATTTCTAGCTTTTGGGGAAAAAAAATTTCAAATTTCTTTTGCCCTGTTGTTAAAATTTCAATAAAATTTTCAAATTTCTACTTATAAACTCAATTTTGATGTCAATCGATCAAGATGTATCTATAAAAAGATCGGTCAAGTTTTGACTGAGTTATTCCGCTTTGACCTGTTGAATGAAATTTTAAAGCAAAAACGTATTTTTTAAAAGCAACTAGAAACAAATTTCGTCGGAGGAAGCGGAAAAATTTGAAAAAATGGGCCAAAAAGCTTTGTTCTGGAAAACTATAAGCTGGTAAACTTCCAAACTGTTTTCATATATAATTTGAAGTGTTCTCTACAATCCGGGAAAGTTTGAACCAAATCTAAATCGGGGAACCCCACCTCTCTTAAAAGCAGTGAAGTTCCGAATGTCACGCAAACTTCAAAGTTCTGTTACCTTGCATACAGTCACAAAACCACTTTTCATGTTGCGTGTAATTATACCGTGGCTTAAATCTAATAACTCTTTCTTACCATTTGCCTGTTCTATATGCTGATTATCGGTAGTTCTCTGCATACTAAATGACAGACGACGTTCGTCCAGTGGTGGTTTTTGTTCATTTTCTATGAGAGGTATATCAATAATTAGTTGATTATGTTGTGTAATATATGCAGCCATTGTTTCAATATCGATATTCGGTGGTATTCCGACTTTCTTTTCGACTCCTAAAGAATCTTCACCATCTTTAACAGCTGAAATTGTTAATGAACCACTTTCGATATAAAACTATAGAGGGAAAAGTATACGGGGTTTCTTCTTTGTTCAACAAAACAACTTTACCTTCAACTTATCTTGATTATATCCATTAACATCGTATACGACCCGAAATTTTTCGAAGTTTAATATATTTGGATATTTCTGTAAATTATTTGGCTTGTGTAACCAGCCTCGTACTTGTTCACTGTGATCTATTATTGGTGTGAATGGATTAAACCATAATTCAGTAAACGTTGTTGATGCTCGTCGTGAAACTGACGGTAAATGAGCATTTAAACGATAAACTGGTACGATTGTTAATAATGACATCTTGTAAATGAAAGCAGTATTTTCTTGTCGCACTTTATACAGAGAGGATGAGAGAAGCGTAGGAAGAAAATAATTGTGTGTATTAACCAGAAAACTAACAGAATACATTGTTCTTCGTGCCTTGTCAACAGTAATTTACAGAAAAAGATGATACTCATAAATCAGCACTCCTTCATAATACATCACTCGAAGACATACAAGATAATTAAAAGTCAATACAGAATATATGTATTTGTTACTTTTTCCATGGTCTTTTCATCGCTATAGTCTAGGTCTATCTAAAACAATCTGAATGTACATTTAGTAGAAAAAGTGTTCGTACGACAGAGGACAAAAATTGTAACACCATTATCTTCTGAACGAACAGATAGAAGTTTTGTTTATATACCACCCAAAAGAGCAAATCTGGGTTATACAATGAAAGAAGAAACTATCAAAACTAATTTATAACTAAGGATAAAAACCGTATTTTGAATTAGTTAGTCAAATTTTCCAGAAAAATTTAGAAATGAAATTTGAAAAAAGCACATGGTTGGATAGCCCAAAGTGTTTGCGTTCAAAATCTGTTTCGCTTTCGGGCCTAGAACTGTTTCTTTCCTAGTTTTCGGAAAAATTTTCTAGGAGCTCTGAAAACTATGGTCTTCAAATAATAATTATTTCCTTGGGTGCGTATGCAAGTGAATTTGTTTTTCGGCAAGGATACGTTGGAGAAAGAAAGTTTTTTTTCATTTATAGATAACACCTATAGCTAGGCGTTGACAGAGTCCGATTTTTAAATGATGCTTCCATATTTTAAAGAAATGAGGATTTCTAAGAAACCTTTCAAGGATTTTTCGGACTTTAAAGTTCTATTAAGCACCAGGCATCCGTAAATGAGAAATTCAAAAATCGGGCTCTGTCAACTCCTAGCCATAGGTGTTAACTGCAAAACAAAAACAGCCCCAGCGCTTTATCATATACTGGAATGAGAATTCTTGCACGTAGTAGACGTCTATTTTTGGCATTTTTGTAAAAAATTTTCCTTACCACACTTTGACATGACCAATATTCCCTGAAAGGCTGGTTCAGATCAGACCTATCTGGGCTTCGATAGGTTTCTGACCCGAGAGAGGGTCTTAATTAAAATTAACTATAGTATAAAATCGTTCTTCTCTAATTAATGTAATTTTAGTGCGCGAAGTTAGCACAGTACGAAATAAATTCACAGCGAGCACTCTCCTTCTTCTATATATAAAAGATCAAGATTTGATGAAAATATAAAACGGAATGGCTATTGACACGCCCGGACGTGTCAACAAGGAGCTACTGCCACTCCCTGGACATGTCAATTAAGAAAGCAATTATTTGATATGTCAAGTAAGTGAATGGTTTTTTATGATATACAGAAGAATAGATAATCTTGTCAAAATCAGGCGAAGATCTATGAAGGAATAATGCCCCGTTTCTGGCACTAATCCCAATTAGTAACACCTAGAAAAGTAAATTGATGTTATGAAACACAAGTGAAATGTGACTATTGTAGGGCAAAAGTTCGGGAAGTGAACTGGGACCGTCCCAAAAAGAGTAGTAAAAAGACAGTAGACTCTGAAAACGATTCATTAATTCATTTTACATTTGTCCCAACGTTGGCAATTTTCACAATCAGTTTTCTATCAGTTATAGATCGACGCTGTTGAGGATACACTATTCGCAGATGTCTGTCACATTTTCGCCACCAGATTGTCCGAGAACCTAATAAACACGCTAATTAGAAAATAACTTTTAAGATCCTTGTTATGAGCGCAGTCCGCTGCACACTAATAAATTGTTTTATTTAGATCTCCAACATCTACTATTAATCATTATTAATGATCACTAGCACTTATTACTTATTTCCATGACTTATTATTATTTTTAAGACTTAGAACAATCAAAAAACTCATTCGGATGGGGAACAGGATACTGCCTCTCCCCACTATGCACACACTTCCTATGAAACAGACAAATTTGCAAGGTGCACGTAAAGCAAGGTTACAGCAGAATTTTATTTTTCTATGTCTTATATATCATTCGATAGAGAATTTCACGGCGAGCAAGAATATGTGCTCCTTGATTTTTTTAAAGGCTTCCTTCCGTTTGAAAAATCCGAAAAACTCGATGGGTGTGAAAAACCCGATTTGTCGCCATTTTTTTATAAATTTGAGTTTCCCAAGTTTCGTGCCAACTTGGACTGTTCAAACTGCCATATTCTTGTGCAGCTTTGAAAACTGAATCAGAAAATGGCCTGAAAGCCGTTTCAGACCTAAACGTCTGTGGGCCAAGATCGTCGAAAGCAAAGCGGCCAAAACTCTCTCTACCTATTCTTGCAAACTTTTCACAAGTTTTTCTTGAGATGTTAGAGCCAATATTTTCACATGGGATCGACGCGTTAGATGCTCCTCTCCAAAAGCATACGTGCAGTTTTTTGAAATTTTTTGTCTTCGGCGAGAAAAGTCGATTTTACTAAGCACTGTGCCCAAAACGCCAGATCCATTTTCGGTTTTTTGCCAGTTTTGCTAAAAATACAATTATGAGAGCGCCAAGTAGCTAAGAAATCAAGGAGAATTCGATAGAGACACTGCTGAGATCTTAAGAGGATTTCTGGAGGGTCTTCAGCGGGTCTTGGGAAGGTTTTTGTTTAGGTCGAGAGTTCTAGGACATTCGCCAGTGTTGGAAATATCCATGCGTCACATGCTAGATTTTGCAACATGACGTATTGGGTTTTTTCCCAGTGTGTTATCATATGCTTTAGATTGGATTTTTCCAAATATATTCGTTTACGTCATACTTGGTATTCTCCAACCTGCATATATATATCACTATTTTAAGAATCCTTCCAAAACTATTATATAAGTTATATAATATAACTCAATACTATACATAGATGTCTGTCAAAATTCCATGCTATTGGCACCAGGGCGGCTAGCTCCCGTATACATGACAAGAAAAGCAGACATAAAATGGATTGTATATGCATTCTTTTTGTTTGCACGATTCTTAAAGGGGTCTTATGAGAAAATTATTATACGTTAGTGATAAAAAATGCGTACTGCGCCTATAAGATTATTCTAAGAAAGTTATAAGAATTTCATACGATTCCGACAGTTTGTTGTTGTAAGATTCTTATAAGAGTGGCTCCTTTTCTTATCAGATATTTAGAGACACAGTACGTATTTCTTGCGACTGTCGTATTATAAGGCTGAATCTTTAGGGAACCAAATATCGTATTAGAAAATTTTCCTAACTTTTGGGACCCAAAAGGCTTGAAAAATCATCTACTTCTGAAAAATATATAAAATTTTCAATTTTAAGCCATTTAAATTGTGATGTTAACTTCCAGACAAAACTGGAAAACGATTGACCAAATATTTTTGAACAAGGTCCCTCGATTAATGCCCGTCGTTTTCCAGTTTGATGACCCTTTCAATTTACAAATCAGATTTCTTTTGATAAGAGGAAAAACTTGACGACAACTGGAACTTCCTCGTCTGTATGACTTTGAGGAATACTATAGATAGTAATCATGAACAGCTTTTTTGTGCCTTTTTGTTCATTGTTGATGTTTTCCTACATTTACTGGTTATGAATGATAAAGGTGTCAACTAAATTGAAAGGATTGCAGTTACAGTCATGGATACAGAGTGGAGTTTCTTTTATAAGAATAAGTGCAAAACTTTGCTGAAACATCACTGAAACTTTTCTCATTCATCACATTGAATGCGTAATGTTCTCCCTTCTTCATTTACACAATACGGAAAGAAAATTTTGCTCTTTTTAGGCCTCTAGCATTCGAATAGAGATATACATATATCTGAGACATATCTCTATTGCTATTTGTTTCACACTTGTCACATTTTTCTTCATAAAAGATAACAGTTATATTCTCACACTGACAAAATTTCTTCAAAAATTTCTTTCGAAAAGTTCTCACTTTCTTTTTCAACTGACAAAAACCACACTCACCTTACGGAAGACGTAAGAGAGCTGGACAGTGGAATTGATCACAGAGATCATCACTCTGAAAGTTCAATATCAACAGATGACGACGTAGATGAAGAAGACGAAAAAGCTCAAAACGAACTTTATCTTCACAAAACGCGTAAAATCTATCCAGATCCTCCAAATTTGTTAATATTTTCACAAATTTCTCACTGCGTTAATAATAGAATTAACTTGTTGTTGTATTACCGTTGAATTCCTTCTGAAAAGTTGCATATCAAACTGGTTTTTATTGAAATTTTAATATACTATAGCAGAAATGTACTGATTGAAGCAAGCCTCTGGAACTCGGTGCCCCCGACCGAGCCCCCGAAGCCATTTTAGCGAAACCCACAAATCGCAGGATGGACTATGATAGTACACCTGGTGTACTTCAGCAGTATACTAGGGGGCTTCAGAATTGTCCCGTTTCCATGGAGAAAATCATTTCTCAAAATCGCTCAAAATGGTCATTTTTGGGCAAAATTGCAACTTTCAAGGCGTCTGTATTG